TTTTTTTTTTTTTTTTTTTTTTTTTTTAATTTCTTTCCTTTTAATAGCATATTGATTTTTTTTCAAGGCTACCCTGAGCATTAGAGATGTTGCTTCCTGAGAAGCAGAAGGAAGGAGGTTGCTTAGTGAGTTCTGAATCAAGGAAAGGCTTTTCGGGACTCCCCCAAGAGGAGAAGTCCTGTATGAATGTCACAGATGAAATGGGAGAAAGAAAGGTTGTGTTAATGATGGAGGGTTATTGCTTGGATAATCCTTTCGGAAACCAGAAACTCAGCCTATATCCCGAATAACCATGCCAGTGGACTTGGATTTCCAGTGGTTCTTGTGTTCTTTTGGCAGGGTTATGTGTGGGGATTTTGCCACAGACCCATGCTTCATGGGCAGAATGAACAGCCTGTCAGTCAAAATCCACCACAGGAACAGGATTTCCTATCAAATTTCTTGCATGTCAACAGATTTTTGGCCCAGTTCCTTGACTCAGTGTTTTGAAACAAGGGGCATCTCAAAAATAAACCTTACTCCTGGGCTGCTTTTGGTGCATGCAGTGTGGGCCGTACTAGGTCGTGCACTGCAAAGGATAAGTTTATTCCTTTATTCTTTAATAAAGGCTCACATTTCTCTGTTATCTTTCCCTTTTCTGGTTTTCTGGAGGTAACTTAAAGTATCCTAACTACAATTTCTTATTTCAGGAACAACTAACCTTTTACAAATATCTTTTGACTCTTGTTTGTTGGTTTAATTACTTTTAAAGTGCTGATTTGGTGGTGACTGAAGCCAAATTCAGAGGCACTGACAGGCAGATGTCAATCTTGTAAACTGAGTTCAACAAACAAAATCATCTGTTTTCCATTCTTTTTTCTTTTTCTTTGAAGTAATAAGTCTTACTAACTGGCAGCTTTAAATTAAACAGGAATGTTTCTGAAAATTATCTGGATATGTCATGGGAAAAGAATCCTGTGTGTGAATACATTCCTCCTAGATTGGTTAATCTGATTACTTTTCCTCTTTCCAGATAAAAAGCAGTTTGAAAAATATGTTAAGAAGCTCACTGGCTATTTGAAAAGCAAAACATTTAATAACTAGAGAAATACAGGAGCGCATCTTCTAGCTGATCTTTTTTTTCTTGGAGTGATTTGTGGTTTCCTTTATAAGAGTGCTCTAAAAACACTTTTCTAATTACACGCTATTTATTTTATTAGTGTTGCTGAGGCATCCAGAGGCCTCAACTGAGATGTTCTGGTAGGCAGTGCTCTGTCAGTAAATGAGAAAAATCTTTTCCCCAAAGGTTTCATTATTAAAAATTATATGGGACAGTATGAGAGAAAGGAACAGTTGATTTCTGACCCCTTTTATGAATTTCTCACATCTCTTCTTGTAATTATTCCAATCACCCATTTCCAGTCATTTCCTCTAGCTCTGGTTATGCAATGTTCTTGCAACTAATGCCTCCTCTAAATATTTTCCAGAATTAGTTTTTGCTCTTTTTCTTTTATGAGATTTGATTTTATTTCATTCTACCCTGTTCCATTTGCTATTTCCAATTTCCTCCAGCAGTCTCAAAACAGCTGGATGCAAATAAGCACTTGAAAAAAAAACCAAATACCTTTTATTATATTACCTAATGTATCATGAATAGTGGGGCTCTTGCACCCATTCCTGAGGAGAGCTGAATTCCTGCAGCTCTTTCCAACAGGCCCTGAGCTTTTTACCTCAATGCCTTGCACTGAGAGAGCACGGAGACAGCCTCGTGCAGCGGAGTTCAAACGTGATGTGTGGTTATGAAAGTCAACCTGTGTCCCTGTGAGACTGGGCCAGAATAAACACATAGGTTTAATTCACTTCTGTTTGTGAGAATAACAGTGCTGAACTTACTGGGATTGCGTGGGGGTTAATAACTAAAGTTTAAAAAGAATATCAGGAAAGGGAATTGATCGCAAGCACAAATGTTAAGCAAGTAACTCATAAGACAAAACGTCTCCCCAAAGCCACTGAAAGGTCACTAGTTGCAGGAGAATCTTCTGGCTGTCCTAGGGCTCAGAGTTGACAGTCTCCATGAGGGTTCAGCCTTCTATCTGGGCACCATTCCTCTCCTGGAGGCACAGGGAATTTTGCATATACCTCAGCAGGAGACGGAGCTCACTAAGAGAGGATGGACTTCTCCAAGCTGGGTTTGAGGACACCCCACTGAACAGAGCAAGAAACAGCCCACCATGACATCCAGCTATGTCAGGGATGCGTGCCCTGAGCTATGTAGGGCTGTGCATGGCAGTGAAATGGCCAGGAGAAAGCATGACAAATGCTTCCCTCTTTGCCTCCATATGAGGCATCTGGACAAAACTAAGCCCTAGTTATCATTGACACTAGTGTGAATTCAGATTAAGTCCAGTGACTTCAAAAAAAGAAGCACTGAATGAAAGAGACAATGTTTTTCTTCCACCCTCAAGCCCAGCTGTCCTCCTCAGAGTTTGATCTCAATGGTTTGAGGAAAAATAACTCGTCCTGTGAATGAAAACATTGCCTTTCAGATGCTACGTTTGAGACTTTAATGCAATCTCTTGATTCTTTTTGGTAAAATTCTGTTTCAAGTGATAAAACAGATTCACCTCTAGCAAAATGGGTGTGTGCAACTGTGTGTTTGCTTCTTTTGGAAGTGTTCAGGATTTAACCAGTTCCTCTTGTAGGACCTGGTGTGATCACTGTTCTAACTGTTCTCCCTCTTTTTCCCTTTTTATCTTCCTGTTTTGCTCCATGTTTCCAAATACAGAGGAGAAGCCCAGAATAAAGTAAGTATGACGGGGTGGGTAGCGTTCAGAAACCTCAGGGTAATTGTTCTGACCTAGAAGATATGTCTAAGTTATCTGTTAGGAAAATGGCCACTATAAACCTTTGGATAACCCTCTCTTTATTCATGCAACATCCACCTGTTCCTATATGCCTTCTGACAGAGACAGCCTTAGCAACAGTTATAGACCAGGGTCTTAAGACCAGGTCTTCATCAGCCCTATGTCTTTCTTAAAGTTAGCTGGTGGAATCATGAATTGTCCAGGACGTGGCAGTCCTACAAGTTTATGTGGTGATGAGAGTCTTTGTGAGAGTCCGTGGCAGGAAAACAACCTGTCCAGGCAGAGCTGCTGGAAGTAGGAGGGATGGCAAATGTTGGATTTTGCTGCCTGGAGCTTAACTAAGGTTTCCTATGCACCTTCTGGCTCTGCAGATCCATGCATTTCTGTGCTTGAGGGAATGACTATAAGCTTTGGGAGTAAAAACCTTTCTGAGGACAACTCCCTTCCCTTGACCTTCCATGAAGGAAAACTGTCTAGTTGTTCCCTGTGGGTCGGCCCAGGACATGGTTTCTAAAAATCTCCCTTTCCTTTAAGATGATTTTTCTTTCACTCTCTACAGACTAACTGCTCCTAAAATACCAGAGGGTGAAAAAGTAGACTTTGATGTAAGTATTTCTGAGCCTATCTGCTTTTGTCTGCCCCTGAGCCACCTGCACGTGCAAACCCACAACTCCTCCTGTAAAGACACTGCTGAGGATAAAGTCAAGGGCAAAGGGATCGATGCTTTGCTGCCTGTTTGTAGGCGCAGGCTGCCATCTGCTCCCTGAAACACTCTGGATGCATTCTTTATTAATGTGACTAAGCTGAAATCTTTATTCATGTACTTATTTTTTGTTCTTCTTGAATCTTTGAAGATAATATATGAAAAAAAAGATGAAAGGAAGTGTGTTAGGAGTCCTCAGATCTCTCTCTTTGCAAACTGCCCATTATCATTCTCTGTTTAATACTACTCAGCTATCCTGAGGCAAGTTGACTTTTATTGTTTATATTACTCCTAAATACTTCCCTAGTTGTACTCTTATTCTGTAGTTCCAGGATGTTCCTCTGGTTCAGGAGTAAGGAAATATGATTAGGGATGGTTGGAAAGGATCAGAAAGGGGCATCTCCAGGGTCAGAGACTAGAGATTACACCTGTGAAGAGTTTTTGTCCTCTAGGAAGAGGAGTGGACATTACAATAGAGTGGCACTTTGAAAAGTTGAGTTGTTCATGAGGAACAACTTGAGGAACTTCCCTCGCCCTCTTTCCCACAGTATTTATGCCCTGTAACTCCTTCCTCATATGCAGTAGTATTCTTCTCCTCTGACACCCCGTATCTGGCAGGCAAATTACCTTCTCTTGCTGGTTTGTGCCTTCTTTCCTTCTGGCTGGCTAATGTGCAGTCTGTTGATTAGCTAGCTCGCTGCTACTGCAGAGCATGGAGAATAATAGGGACTAATTGTTACCCTTTGTGGGAAGCACTGATTAAAATCTCTGTGCTGTAGTGAAGCTTCCTGTAATCTAAAGTCCTCAGAAATGTGGGAACAGAAAATATGGGATCTTCTTCTAGAGTATATTCTTATCTCAATGCTCAGCAAGATTTCACCAAGACTTATATACTTGCAAAGATATGGCAGCTAAGAGAAGTGAGGAATAAAATATGATGCAGGGAAATGAAATGTGGGTTCTGTTGTCATCTTGGTTCCTGGCTGTCACATGGACAAGTCTTTGAACATTTCAGACTTTGCATTTAAGTTAGACGCTTAATCAAGGCTCCTGTTGATTTCTGTGCATATCTGTGGACACATTGTGCTTTTGTTTCTGTGTGTGTAGACAGTGTTGGGAGTCTGTGGGGCATGTATGTAGAAAAGCATGAACTTATTTAATGAATTTGCCTGCTCTTCCAGGACATTCAAAAGAAGAGGCAGAACAAAGATCTGATTGAACTGCAGGCCTTGATTGACAGCCACTTTGAAGCCAGAAGAAAGGAAGAAGAAGAACTGGTTGCCCTGAAGGAGAGAATTGTGAGTCTTTGTAGAGTCGTTTCTCTGTGCTAGATTATGAGATTTGCTATAGATGAGAAGCAGAATATGTTAGTCCTCAGAATTTGGCAGCAAGCTGTGTCTCTGTGTAAAGTAGAGACTGTTTCTATTAGCCCCAAGAGGATTCTTGCCTTGTCAATCCTCTCAGCCTCCTGCATTTTGCACCTGGAAATTCACAGGGAGCATTTGGATTAATTGTAAACCCTGTCCTGCATGCCCTGGCAAGGAAATAGATAGTTCATTGTCTGTAAACTAAGACTTTTGGTGATGGTGGTAGTCGTGGAGGGAGATAATGGATGCTGGGGGGTAGATAAGGTCACACTGATGGTTCTGTGTCTCTGCTACTGCCTCTTGCAGGAGAAGCGCCGAGCTGAAAGAGCAGAGCAGCAAAGAATTCGGGCTGAGAAGGAGAAGGAACGCCAAGCCAGGCTTGCAGTAAGTGTCTTTGCATCTCTCTGTCTTGGCATCTAAGGAGAGATCTCTAGAGATCTCTGCCTCAGACACTCCGGAGAAGAAACGGCTGCCCTCTTATGGCAACGACAGGAGGAGGAACTGTCAGTTCTCATTGTACTTATCTTGTCACGTTTCCTGCGTGACACTGGCTGTAACTTGCTGCCATGTGTCATCCTCTATAGGAGGAGAAGGCACGGAGAGAGGAAGAGGATGCCAAGAGAAAAGCTGAAGATGATCTCAAGAAGAAGAAGGCTTTATCCTCCATGGGTGCCACATACAGCAGCTATTTGGCTAAGGTAAAAAGCATGTGGAAGGAATACGGAAGTATTACACATTGGGGCTGAGTGGCAACAGTTTTCATTACAAGGTGAGAACAAAGCTTGACTGTCTTCCTTCTGGATTCTTAGCAAGTTGTCTTGTTACTCTGTCCCTAAACTCATTTCACTCACCCAAATTTGTGTTGCCTGGTATTGACTGATGTTCTGAAAATAGGCTGACCAGAAGAGAGGGAAGAAGCAGACAGCTAGAGAGACAAAGAAGAAGGTCCTGGCAGAGAGGCGCAAGCCCTTGAACATTGACCATCTCAATGAAGACAAGCTGAGGTAACGTGCTTATCCTCACTTATTTCAGGTACACGGCAGTGATTTCAAATTTGAATGTAGTTATTGGACATTTGTTCTTATTGTTCTGGGAATGCTCTAGTAAAAGAATTAGGGAGAGGAGATGGCCTTCCTCAAAATTCATCAAAGGACAATATTAGATTTTACCCTACCTTTATTTGGAGGAAAAAAAAAAAGCCCCAAAAAACCAGACTATTAATGAAATGATTTGGTAGCCTTGTATGTAAACAGAGATGAGTCACCTACCAGATCAGCTACAAACTTTAAATCCAGCTTTGATGCCAACTGAAAAAAAAAAAAGACTTAAGATTAAAGACTGTTTTGGCATTTATATTACAGCAGCGTTCCCAGAGGTGAGATAGAACTGCTAAAATATGAGTATGGATTTCTGCTGAGTCTGGAGGACCTGGAATTGAGTGCGGTGCTACAGAACAGTCTTTAAACGATAGTCTGAACTGCATGTGTTGGAGTTTGCATACAATAGAAAAATGAGATTCGCTCACCTCTGTCCTAAAACAGATGAGATGTGCAGTGGTAGCTGTTCTGCTTATCTGCCTGCTCATCTAATTCCCCTGGATTCTTGTCCCTCGTTAAGAGTTAGGGGAAAAATGAATCTGTTACTGCCTGATATATGCAAGAGTGGGAAGCTAAAAAGCTGTCAGATGAGAAAGCAAGACATTGAAAATCATTGAGTAGTTTTAAGATGAGTAAGGGTTTTACGAGAAGGTGTATAAATTGCCTCATTACTAGTGATCTGAAAACCAAAGGAAATGTACAATGTGATGTGTTTCTCCTGTCTTCCTTTCTCCATAAAAACACAGAGACAAGGCTAAGGAACTGTGGGATTGGTTATACCAGCTGGAGAATGAAAAGTTTGACTTTGCAGAGCAGATTAAAAGAAAAAAATATGAGGTGAGTTGAGAAGCCCTTTTGGTCACAGCGCTGGATCCAAAACATAATCTGTGGTTTAAAAAAGAAAAAAAAAAATGTGGCAACATCATTTGTTTTTCCAATGCACTTTTGGAATATTTACCCAGGGAGGCACTTGGATCTGCAGTTCCCCTCGTATGCCAACTTTTGCTGACCAGATTTAATATTTTAGGCTGAAACTGAATAGACCAGTTTGAAGGCTTTGAAAGCCCTGTAGAAGATGAATTCCTCACACACACAAACTTATTCACTCCTGTTGATCATTCAGATTCTGAATTTGCTCATCTGCATTGCAAAGTAATATTTTTATCCTGTCTGATTTCACACTTGAATGTTTTGAGTTTTATTCTCGTCCCAGATTCCCTGTGGACTGAGCTCTTTGGAGTTGCTGAAACCTGTCTTCAGCACCCGACCGAAGTGTCATCTGGTAACAGCCACTTGACGTGTTCCCTTTACAAATGGTCACAGGGTAGGGCTGTGCTTGCCCATACCAGACTTCATTTGGTGCCTGAGAAATCCTGTTGGAGATCTCTCTGTCCTGCTCTTCTTTTAATTCCCAATTACCCAGACACACACTGACAGAGGACAAGCAACATCAGTGTAATTATCTCAATCTCTCTTAGATTGTAACACTGCGCTGCAGGCTGCAGGAGCTATCCAAGTTGTAAGTACAATGAACTTGCCTGTGCAAAAGCAGCAGCAGCAAAGGCTACCAAATGCATGAGCCTGCCGCATGGTCAGAGAGCAGGTGCCAGCCAGCAAAATGATCCTGGGCTCCAAGCACAGAGAGAAAAGAGAAAACTGAATCTTGTGTGTCTCCCTTTCCTTCATTTTTCTCTTCCTTCCATTCTTCTGAAAGAGATGAGGATGGAATTTAGGAATGGAGTTGGAGATTTGACAGTGAGGTGGCTAAAAAGTTGAGCATGCAATCCATGTAGATCATGTCTGAAGATAATTCTCTTAGCAGCTTCTAGTACCATGTGGGAGACCACCCAGATGTACCTGGGACACATGCAGAGGCCTAAGGATTCATGTGTTGTATCTTGGAATTTGGAGGAAAGAAAGGAATGGGTTTGGGAAAGATTCTCCGTCTTGTGTGGCCACATGCTTATCCAGACCCAAAACGTGGGAGAGGGCCAGATAAATGATGGGAGGCCAAATAGATGTGGAAAACTGGTATTTAAGGCCATGGGAAGGGAAAATCGTACAGCGGTAGAGGCCTCTATGCAGAGTGAGGAATGGCCCATGAAGAAAAGCAAGGAACGCACAAACTATGCAAAACAGAAGAAAAGGGCATAGCTGAGAGGGGAAAAAGAGACAAGTGGAGGTGGGGGGGAAAAAAGTGGGGAGAAGATGATGGTAGAAAATAAAAAAAAATGAGGAGAAAGGTAAGTGGAAAATAGCAAAAGGGAACAATGAGCAAGAATGCAAGGGAGAGACAAATGAAGGAACTGGGACACATAGAGGTGGAGACGTTATTTAGTTCCAGTGTCTTTTGCTCTTTGGTGCTTTATTGGAGAGTGGCATAGTCACTGCTACAAGGTTACTAGTGAAGGTAAGTCTTAAGTCCTTGGGTCAAACTGAAGATAGAACTGGTTCTCATCCACATTTGAAAAATATTTGATTTCAATAAATGATTTAAACCAATGCTGCAGTTATTAAAACTTCTACAAGTAAGTACAAAAGCAGCTGATCTGCTGATCTTTCCTTCCATGTGTTGTCTTGTTTCCTCTGATGTTTCAGTCTCTTATTTTGTTTCTGTTTACCATGGAAAGACATGAACCAGGAAATACCAGTTTTTGGGCCAGCGCGAATGTATGATCTCTTTTTTTTTTTTCTTGTTTTGCATGTGGAAAATGTCAAATGTCAAAGTCAAAGGCCACTTTACATAGTCAAATGTTAAGTCATCAGTTCTTGGACCAGCAGAGCCAGTAGAGAACTTTACACCAAAAACAGAAGCAAAGCATAAGTCTTAGTACATGCATTTTTCACCCAAAGCAAATAAGGGAGAATGATGACTGGGTTACTAATGAAGCGGGGCCAAAGAGGGTGCTTTTTGTCACTGTGGTCCATTTGGATATTCCCATCACCTACAAGGAAAGAATCCCAGGATTTCACTAGTGAATCCAGGTCTACAAGCTAGGACTGAGATGCGAAGCTAGGCCACGAGGCTTGTGCCGAGAGGTAGGTGTCTGCTTTCCAAAGCATCAGGCTGAAATCTGTAATTTTTCAGCAAATCAGCAAAATTTTGGAAGGTATTTAGAGCCCCCACTTCAACCTTTTCTTCTGTGATTGATGCAGCTGCCCAAATTGTTGTCTTCTTCAGCTGTGTTAAAAATCTTCCTCCCTTCTTGGAAGGTGGTAGCTGCTGCAAGCTCACATCTTCTGCGCTACCAGCCAGCTCCAGCAGAATATGTGACCCATCTTCTTTCAGTCCACTGAAGCTCCTTAGCCCTACAAAATCCATAAGTAGAGGAAAAAGGAGAAGGTGAGGCTGGCATAGGCAAGAGGAAGAGGCTGTCCAAAAGCTTTCCAGCTGGCCAAGGTGAAACTCATTCCAGTTCACTCCCCTGCATTTTGATGTGCCAATTCACTTTCCTAATAAAGGTGATGAAATTCTAGTTCTTGTTCCTCTTGAAAAGTGAAATTGGCTTGCAGATATATTACCAACTAGCAACATTTCCCTTCCTAAAGAAAGGGTGAGTTTTATTTCAAAGGAAGTGCTAAGCTCTACCATAAGCACCCGTTTTCAGCACTCCAACAGGTAAAGTCCCCTCCCTGGGAGGGAACAAGGTTGCTCAGCAGATACCTTTAAACCCTGGTCGTGTATGTTGTTTGCAGATTGTCACCCTCAGGAACCGGATTGATCAGGCTCAGAAACAGTAAGTACCCATATCCCCTTCCTAGCTCTTGGCTGGGGATATGATCTCAGTGTTTGAAGTAGTCACTTCAGCCCCAACGCTGACATTTTCTTGCTGTAATGGAATGAGGCTAGAGATGAAAGGGCAACTGCCATCCTGCCTCACAGTGAGAAAATGCCAGAGAAACTGAAGTGAATCTAGCAGCTAGTACTAAAAACGTTGTGTTTCTTCACAAGGTGTCAGCAAAATTTCCATCTGCTAATCGATGGGATCTCCAAACACCTGACTGGGGTGCTTTGAATGCAAAACGGGATACAACCCTTGTTTATGAAGGGTAAACAAGTGGTTGCTAAGATTATAAGGAATGATGTGTAACACGACTAACACCATGGGATTACTGTTGTGAGTTCTTCTCATTTGTCATCTCTCTCCCACCTTCCTTTTCCATGTGACTTCTACTTAAATAGATTTTTGACTCTTTTTTAACTCTTGTATGTGTTTACAGTGGACTTACTAAGAGAACTGGGGCTGCCTTCCCACTTGCCCAGTCCACCCAGTCTTATCACATGAATGCAGCACTGTGGGCTCGTGTGTAGGTGCCAAACATAAGGCTTGACCTTCTCAGAGTATTTTCTTTAGAGCTGTAGGCTCATAAACCTCCACAGAATGTGCAGCTGTAGAAGGATGCCGTGGTTTATTTGGGCGATGCTGCCCTTTCTAGGGGCACTGTCACACCACCCACTGCAGGATGCACTATTACTGCACATTTACTCCCCCAGGAGACACTGTACTCTTTTTAGTGCGATAGGGCATCATTTAGAAAGGTTGGACTGGAAAGCCCAGAGCTCCTGAGGTATTTGCAATTTTATTTCTCTGCAAATCAGCCTGGCGCATTCCAAGGCAATGCCGGTTAATATGTCATAAAAAGAGCAACTGATCCTTTTGCTTTAGACTGATATTAAGTCTCTCTAAGCACACTCTAAAGGTTAGGCATAACATTAAACATCACAGGCCTTTGTGGAGGTAAAAGCACTCCACCTTAGTTTGAGTTCCTGTGCTGGGTTTTGTACCAGTGGAATGAATTTCAAGTAAGCAGAAACTGCTCTGCTGTCTCATGTAAAGAGTCGATTTTCAGAATAGATCAAGTCTAACTTGGTCAAGAGGTAAAGTATTCTCTATATGTGTGCCTGAGTCACTATGTTAAGTCCTCCCATTAATAAAGCTAGTGTTCTTGAACCAATTCACCCAGCAGCGCTACACAAATCTCCCAAAAGGTTGCCTTCTCATTCGTTTTGGCTCTCTGGAGGAACCGGTGACCTGAAGGTTGCTTCCTGGTTCATGGCAAGGCCCCACCACAATGTTCTGCCTCCCAGCCCCACACTCTGCAGTGTCAGAGGGCCAAGTTCACATGTGCTTTGGTTCAAGAAGTAGCTTCATCATCGTGTGCATGAGATGGAAGGGTCCGGTGACATGAAGTATCCCAAAAGGCACTGCCTATGGGAGCCGGTGCAGAATCTAACCTGACTAACTTCTTGTCTGGACTGAATCCAGGCATGCCTGTTTTTCAGTCAGAAGGTAAGTGGCGTGCATGCAGAATTGCCCTTGGATGTGCAGAAAGATACTGGAGTTTGCCTGAGGTGCTTTGTGTGGGAAGTGTAGCTGGACTGTTCCCATGCACTCCTCCATTTAGCAAGGCATGAAAAGAAGCCTTTAAAGGTTGTTCAAACTATTCTAAAGACTCGCTCTCGTGATGTGAGGAAGAAGTCATACTGCCTTTGCTATAGCAAAGCAACTTTCTTATCAGCCCCTAGCTATATTTAAATTATTATCCACATTATTTTGTCTCCACTACCAGATGCCTAGTGCATCTGAGGTATTAGACTACAGCTCCTGAGTTTTCTGTGGACACAAATCTATAACCTATATTCCAGATGAAAGTAGTCTTGAATACTGCAAGTGTCAAATCTGTGACTGGATAGGTCTGTCAGTGCTGAGATCACCTGGATTTCTAGTCTGATACTGCAGGAATCTGGAAATGTCCAACCCTTTTAGCCATGCACATCCTGGAATTCACTGAGGGCTTGAGGTGGAGTCTGATTCCACAATATCAGCCCGTTTTCTCCAGGATGTGCTCTGTGGCCCCCGTGCCCACTGCCTCAGAGGTAAAAGGAGCTCACCACTGACCCGAGAGCACAGTGGTCGAGAGCCTCATTGCTACTGTTGTGCTGACGTGCTTGTCTTTCCTTTTGCATTACAGCAGCAAGAAGGCAGGAGCCAAGGGCAAAGTCGGTGGGCGCTGGAAGTAAAGAACCAGGCAGGACGGCCCGTAGTGGCATGCCTGAACCCTGCTGGTCTCCTCTTTCTTCCTTCACAAATCATTGTGTCCCCATGCCTCAGCGATAACAGAAGTCTCAACATCAGCCTGAAATCATGACATCAGCCTGGGCTGGCTATTGCTGCTGCTTTTCTTTATCCCTCCCCACCTTGGAGAAGTCCAGTGATTTCCTGAATCTGAAGGAAGCAGGTTCCTACAGGAGCTGAGACGACTCCTCGCTGGCATCTTTACTACCTGCTGAGCATGTCCTTTAATCCCCTGACACCAGCCCTGTGCCATCCTGTAGATTGCTGTGTACAAATCTCTGGATTTTGTAAATAAAGCGCGACCAGTGTCTACTTCAATGACAGTTCTCTGGAACAGTCTTTTGTGCTTTATTTAGGGGCATCTCCTTTTGCCAAGGGTTTGGGTGTTGGGCTGAACCCTTAGTTATTAAGGTGAAACACTCTAGTTCAACAGCTGGGAATGAAGTTGCATATAATGAACAAAGAATGAGGATGGGAGACTCTGGTTTATGGCCGTGATATGGGTGGACAACAAGGACCAGCTCTGCACTGGGGGGGCTCTCAGTCCATGAGCTGCCAAGCATACCTGAAGCAGTCAGGAAATGGATAATGGGAATCAAAGCATCAGGAATGAAGGATTAGCTCCACAGAAGTGCTGGTTTTCAGCAAGAAGTGGTAGTTTTCAGCTCAATGTTTCTCAAGTGCTGGTGTTTCACTGCAACATGTAGTACCACTGGTTCAGGTACCACCTTAAAGAGCTGGAGGCCACTGAAACCCTGCATACATATAATAAAACCCATCATCAAAGCCTGATTCGTTTTGGTTAATTCCATGCAAAATCAAAGGCTGCCCCCCTCTGAACTGGGCCAGAACAGCATTAAAAAGCTGTGATTAAATGAAGTCCCCGAGCTCTCCGGTTGGATGCTTTTTCTCTGCTAGCCTAAAAACGCTGTGTTGGAGAGAAATGCAACCCAGGTGCTGTCCCTCCTCACCCAGCCTGCCACAATTCTGGCTCTAGCTAGCAAATCTGTGACCGGGAAGAAAAGTGGGGGGAAAAAAACGATTTCAGAGCAGGCGAAGGGCTGCCCCTCGCCCTGGCGCCCTGCGGCCCTTTCTGGCCCCACTGGTGCCTCGACACACGGCATGGCCACAGGAGAGGCTCTGAACTAGGCAGTTTCCTTGGCAAGTCACTGTGTTTTTTGTCTGCTTTTCTGAGGTGACTTGGGGGTGTGTGGAAAACACACACACAAGAAGTTTGGGCTTGGGGAGAACACATACCCCAGAGCAGAATGCACACCACAAGTTTGAAGTTTGTATCTTTAATAAGCAGGACAAAGGAACCCAGACAGGTGGGAGACAGAGTGGAGCCAGGAGTGGGGGGAGACTGCGGGGAGGCTGGAGCGAGGGGGTCACAAAGGAGGCAAGCGACCTGAGGTGCCAACACGCGGAGGGAGGCACCGAGCTGGGTACAGGCTGTGACTCCTGAGCCCCTTGGCCAAAGGAGAGGGCACCGTGGCCGGGAGGTTAGGATAAAAGCCCTGCTTTTATCCTAATCCCCCTGGCAACCTGAGAGACCCCACAAGGATGTGCCCGGTGGACTCCCCCTTTATCCGAATAAAGTTTTGGGTCCCCTCTGTCTCCTTTTGGACACTCAGTTCTCGGACACTGAGATTTTTCCGCACAGGGGTTTCCTTGGCCGTTGCCCTCAGGCGGACGGGCCAACCCCGCTCCTGCTTTCCACGCTTGGTCTCTCCCCGTGGCTCTCTCCCAGGCCACGCTTGCCCCCAAACCGCTCGGACAGGACAACTCCCGGCCATTTCCCGTCATAAGGACCGAGCGGGGCTCTCGGGGCTTGTTCCTGCTCCTCCGCGGCGGCAGGAGGCGCTGGGCCGGGGCCGCGGGCACGGCAGGCGGGCGGGAAGGCGGCGCGGGCTGCGCCATGGCGGCGCGCGTCAGGAGGCTCGTGTAGGGGCCGGGAGCGGGGCCGGGAGCGGGGACCGGGAGCGGGGCCGGGAGCGGGGACCGGGAGCGGGGCCGGGAGCGGGGGCCGAGGTCGGGGCCGGGCGCGGGCTGAGGCGGCCTCTCGGTGTCCCCCGCAGGTACCCGCTCTTCCAGCCCGGCGGGCCGCAGCTGCGCATCTTCCGGCCCGACTTCTACATGGTGCTGGTGCGGCCCGGCGTGCCGCAGCCGGAGGACACGGCGCAGTTCCGCGTCTCCATGGAGTGAGTGGGCCCGGTTCGGCCCGGCCCGGCCCGGGTGTCGTGGCGGCCCCTTCCCGCCGGTGCAGCCCGCAGGGACCGGCCAGGGGAGGCCCCCAAAACTTCTGTTTCTCTCTCCCTCCTCTCCCGCAACCTCCTTCTCCTTGCTTAGGATGACGAAGCTGGACATCAGGAACTACCTGGAGAAGATCTACAAGGTACCGGTGGTGGCGGTGCGGACCAGGATCCAGCACGGTACGTGCGGGAGCGGCCGACCTCTCCAAGGGCCTTTTCCCATGCCAAGCTGCCATGGGCTTCATGTGTCCCGGTCCAAGCCCTGCCTGCGGCCTCCTGCCAGCCCGGTGGTGCATTTGCTCCTTAAGGCAAAGATACGCCCCTGTATATTTGAGTAGTTTCCTTAGACTGTGGCATAACTTTAATTTTATAAGGAAAACTGAATCTGCAAAGCCTTAAAACCTTGTTTTTTACCTGGTTTCTGCAGTCTGCTTTTGTAGTTGCGGCCACTTGTCTTTGACCGCTGGGTGTCTCACTTCAGCGGGAGCTTTTTTAAGTGCTCCCAATAAATTCATACAAGCACAGGTATTTTTAAAAGCCTATGGCCCTTATCTGGGGTTATCCAGGAAGCACTTAGAGGATGTGGTATGGTTTAACAAAAAGAAAAGCAGAGAGAATGAGAATATTTCATTAGGCCTTCAGATAAAGCTCAAAAGATACCTTTAACAAACATTCAGCTTTTCAGCCCTTGTAACTACTGCACAGAGCTACGGACCTGCCACTTCCACTCATGGTCCCTCCCAGCACCCCAAATAACCCAACTGCTTTCCCTTCCCATTTGTTTTAAGTTATTCTAAGCCCCAGGTGGAGCAGGCAGACCACTAAATGAACAGAATGAATTTTGAAAAGGGCCAGGGCAAAAGCTGTAGTAGAGGAAAATGGGAATGAAATAAGAATTAAATCTTCAAGAGGTACTTGTAATACTCAGATTAAGAAAAAATATATCTGCAATATGCTTATGTGAAAAAAAAAAAGGGAAACCTTGATACCAAGCACTGTAGATCTAAATATTTGTAGTTCTAAGCAGCACTGGAAAATATTTGTGCTTGTCCTTTTAGCTGTTTGCCACTGCTTTAGAAATGGTGCTAGAATATATATTTTGGGGGCTAAAAGGAGAAAGAGGTAAGAAAAGCCTAATAATTAGCTTAAAGGCCTATCATGCAGTGAATAAATAGAGCTAGGGATTCCCCAGTGACCCGCATACTAGTTGAGAGTCGACATGCTTTGTGTGCTGTGGAGCAGTGGGTCACGCTCGTGTTCTGCAGTGCTGGGTGGCAGTAAGGGGTGGCGCCTCTGTAGCTGCTGAGCAGACTTTTCCTCTTTGGTCCCCGGGAGCTGTAGATGCAGTTGGGACTGTTTATTCCTTCTGCTCCCTATCTGGCAGACCTGCCCTTGCAAATTTTGTGTGTGACCATCTGACCACCCGAGTTCAGTGATGCTCCCTTTCCTCCTGAAAGTGAGGAGAGTAGGATTTGCTCATTCCAGTACGTTTTAATAGTGAGATACTACTGCAAGGGGTGTCTGTGTTAGTACTGAAGAAATATTCCCCCTAACAGTAAATCAAAACTGAAGAAGAGCCCTCCTTTGGCTTGGCTGTGCTTTGGGGAGCCTGCAGGTTCTGGAAACTAATGGAGGGGGCTCTCTTTGTGCAGGCGCCCACAACAGAAGGAACCACAAGAATCAGAGAATAAAGAAGCCGGATTACAAGGTCGCCTACGTCCAGCTGGTGAGTTAACGTGGGTGCTCCTGGGGTAGAGGAAAGGGCTGTTAATCAGCCAAGCCAGAAGCAATGACCAGTGAATAGCCCAGTTGGCTGCGTATTTCTGCCAGTCCTTTAATAAAGGCATCACCGTTAATACCTGCCAGACTGCAAAACCAGATTTATGCAGTCTTAAATGATTTAGTGAGCAAATTCAAATAAATAGTTGGTTTTCAAGTCCCGTTTTGTTCGAGGGCTATATGTAAGTTATGGCCTGATGTCATATGGTGCTGCTTTGCCAGGAAGTTTCAGGCTGACCCTGTACTCGCTGTGCTGGAAGGTTCACCACTTGTGTGGTTGATTGCTGAAATGTTCAGTAAGAGAAAGAATATAGCGTAAGGATGGAGAAGTTTTTATTAAAGCTCTTTGAATCTTGGAGAAGACTAAGGCATATTCCTTGGGGAGCTTTTAGTCATGTCTAGCAAGTGTGCTTTGTGGCTAAGCTGGGTTCTAAAATATATGTTGGTTGCCCAGTGGAAAAGAAGTTTAATGTTCTTAAAATTTTCTTTCATAACAGGAGCATATTACAGTTTAATCTTTTTTTGGCTTACCTGTCCCCATGTGAAAAAAACAGCCAATTAAAAAAACAAAAACCCTTCATATACAGAAATTATTTTAAAGGAGGGCTGTTTATATTGCAAAATCATAAATTTAAAATTGCTGTTGGCAATGCAACCTCAGTGTTACTCCATACAAGGGATCTGTGAGGGGAACACTGCATGATCTTAGAGTTTAAAGACTACATAAAATTTATATGCACTTGGGATCAAATTAAAGATGCACAGCCAATTGAAAATCTGACATTTCCCTTTTTTTTCAGAATTTAAATGAGCTTGGAAGTTTTTCTCTTAGTCTCTTTTCTCTTGGGGAAGGATTGGAAAGAAAAGTGAGGACAATGTATTTCACTGGGCAGCCCTTTATCTTTGAAGGAACAGTACGCCTTGTGGACAGAAAGTAAGAGTTATATTTAGGTCAGGCCTAATCTTAGTTTATTGTGGTGAAGCTAAAGCTAAGGTGCTCTGCACAAAATTTTTTGCATTACAGAAAATCACTTTTTCAAGGAAGATCTGGGCAAGGGGAACGTCTCCCTGGTGGAGGGAAGGCCATTTGTGTGTAGGTTTTTTGGCTGTGAGACATCAGATACAAATGACTCACTGAGAGCACAGCTGAGGAGAGGAATGCAAGGAATCACTTCTCTCTGCTAGTCCCAGCTTGCCTTCCCTGTGTTGTTGCTTAGTAGGTAAATGCAGGCACTTTTCTTCATCATCATAGGTGTTTGCTGGTGACTTTTTTTACTTTTGGAGCTCTTTCCCAGCCTTGAAACGCACATGCATCTTTACTGAGCATTGGCCATTCCTCACATCTTGGTTCACTGTATTTAATTTTTCTATCCATTCACCACTAGTTCTGGTGCCTCAGACACTGAGCTCCCACTTATGTTTTCACATCACCTTTAAGAGGTGAGTGAAGACTGGAACCCAGTGTCAGCTGTGAAAATGCAGCTTTTGCCTTCGTTCTCATTCATGGTTTGATTTTGGCCACCTCAGGCCTGATGCAGCCATTGTTAATATCTGCCTAATTTAGGGAAGTCTTTGGTAACCACTGTAAAATCCCTATTTTCCTGAGAATTGTTTTGCATCTGCCATGAGTCAGAATAACTGGGCTTTCCCACCATTTTTACCAGCTGTGTTTTCTCTCATTAATCCAGTTTCAAGTTGAAACTGCTTATGTCTGGAAAAATAAATGCTTGTTTTCGAGAGCTCTCGGGTTGATCTTCCCGTCGCTCGCTAGGTGGAAGTGTTGCTCTTCCTAGGGTGACGTGCAGGCAGCTCTGTTGTGGCTTACCTGAATGAAGCCGAGGATATTCTCATGGCAGCTCTGCTTGCCTGCTCCCTAAAACATCACATTATGTGTCCCCACACAACATATATATGTCAATTTGCTGTTGGGGCCTTAAAGGTGAAAGGTGCATGAAGTCAGAGTCAATACGTACCCTTAAGCGTCAGGTTAGTGCCCCAGCTGTCCCACATGCAAGAATTGTTGTCCTTTCTTTTCCAAATACTATTTCTTGGAGATTCAGAGCTGTTTACTTTATTCTCGGGCTGTAACTGGACAAATAAATGATCAGTCCAAGGATAATATTTTCACATTAAAAAAATACCTCAAATCATAGAAGGCTGTGGATCAACAATATCTTGCCATTCCAGAGGCTGCCTACCTTTTTATTCCCCTTTTGGAATGTGGTGAGAAAGGTTTTAAGTTATAGGCTCCTGGCCATTGCTTTCCAATGCTGCTTTTTTACACTCTGTTGTTTTCTTAATTAAAATCAAAGCAGCACACCTTTGCCAGCATAAACGAATGCCATATAGCAATCTTTTTCTTTACACTGATAAAGTTATAATTCTCCTACTGTTATATAAAGGAGAAAAGGCCGGTGGGAAACGTTACAGTTTCATCAACATCAGAGAAATGAAAAGAAAACAACAACATCCCCTCCTCCACCTTCGGTGTTCTCAGTGTTTCAGCTCAACAGGTGTCAGCACCCGTGGGAGCCCAAGTGCAGACAAGCCTCCGGAATCCAGACCTATTTTTAATTAAACCTGTTTTGAGAAATCTAATGGAGATGGCTGTAAAAAGGAGCCTGACCTTGTCAACATTAGGCCTAACACCTATTTAGCTGCGTGAATGATGGCACAAGTGGGAGCATTTTTGCAAATGCTTTCTCCTCAAACCCTGGCGAGTGTCCTGTACATTCATTGTAATTAGCCCGTTTGCACGTGAGACGTGGGGGCATTTTTCATCTTGCATCTAATGAATTTAGAGGAAAATGGGATTCTCTGTGTGCTCTGGCGTTGCCGTGTGGATTTTAAAGCCGCTTTCTATGCGGTTTGGCCATATTTGTTATTTTAACATCAGATATTACCACAGAGATAGTAGGAGAACTGTTCAAATGCATCGAGTTATTAAACTTAGCTGCGTTTGCCGCTACCGCTGGACCAAATCCCACGCTGTTGGGAGTCCAACATTTTTTGGTTAACGACACTATAAACATCACTTTTCTCCTAATTCTGAAGGACAGTAGTAAGTGCTTCAATTATCTAAATAATCAGAAGACCTCACAGTTGTTTACATGACCAGTGTTTGCTGCGTCATTCCTACACCATAATATCTGTGCTGACCTACTATTCCTAAACTTTTGAAGGGATGCAAAGGTCAGAAGAGTGTAAGTGCGTTTGTGCTGGATAATCCTTCTTGCAATTTTCTGACATGAGGCTTAGCAGTGGAAAGGTTAACACTTGACTTCATAGGCCTAATTATGGTCACTTAACCTCCCATTAAAGTGAATGGAGGCAATTTGTACCACTTGATGTGGTAACTCCTTCTGTAGACTCGGAGAAAAAGGTGCGACTCCACCCTAAATAACCCAAAAGACTGAAATGTAAGCTGAAAATATTTGCTCGGCGCTTAGGTCACTTTCCATGTTGAAGAAGGTCAGTATTTAAGAAATGAGTCTTCGTAAGACCTAGTGTATAAGTCGGTTTTACCTCTGGATAACGCTGAAGCAGGGTCAGGTGTGGGCAGAAGTGGTGCCCATTTCTGTAGTCTAAACATTGCACCATGTATCTCACTTGGGTATGACCTTAGAATTTGTAGCGAAAAGAGAAGTCTCTGGGAAGACCCTAAATCCAGCGTGTCAATAGATGGAAACCACCACATTGCCTTTAATTTTATGCCGACAGCAAAATACCTGAACGACTCCCCCCTAGTTTGCTTCTTTCTTGGTGATTTATTTAGACTTAAAAGCATTATGAAGACTATTCAGATACAAGAGGACTTGATGTTAGAGCTTGCCCTGAAAAACGCCAGAATTTGTTACTCTACCAGCTCACATTAATGGAAAAATTCTTCTGTTGGCAGCTTGGAATCCAGTTCCAAAACAGATTAATTTACATAAGCAAAATAATTTTTTAACAGTATCTTTACCTTTCTAGAGAGTTTTCCCTCGGCAGAGCTGTGTCAGGTAGGAGGATATTCTTGCCTTCTCCCCACTGCCTCTGTGCTCCTAATTAAGGTAATCGTGTGCCAGAAGTTCTAAAAGAAGCCCCAAACTTGGCTTTTCTTAGAGCCCTTTTCAGTTTATTATCTTCAAAACTTAACCAAAGGAAGGACCTTGACGAAATGACTTGCTAAAGGTAACACAGTGAACAATGTCGGGCTTAGGAATAAGCCACGTGTTTGCTTTCTGATGGCATATGCTCACAGTGCATGTTGTAGAAATTTCTACTTCTAGAAAGTAGAAATCTAGTTGTAAATTTTGTCCCAGTTAGGATTTTTTTCTAAGCATGTGTTTTTATTTTTTTAATATGGTTGTCAAACAGGTACTTTGTAGAAGGTGAAAACTTGTACAAAAGAAAAAAAAATACTGGTTTGAACAGCACTACATGAGAGAGTGATGATCCATCCATTCCTTTGGTGGACATTTTTTTTTTTGAGAAGGTGACCTGTGAGCTAAACCTTTGGTGGCCTCGAATCATGTCCAAGATGCACCGAATGTAAACATGCCTGGATGGCCTCTCAGCCCTTTATGTAAGTTGATGCCTCTTGGTTTTTGTGAAATTTTGAAATACCCAAAATACAGGCTGCTTTTGAAAACTAGCTACTGAGCATGCACAACAGCTATTTTTCTTAGGGTTTTCATCACTCCAGAGTTTTACAGTGCAGTATTACTGCATAGCATTGTTACTCAAGATTTATCAACCTTCAGTTCTCAGGGTGTAGTGTCTTGGCTGTTTCCAATCGTGTCTGGCCGCCGGCCAAAATCGGAATTTCTTCACAAAACAAGATCTGGAAAGAGCCAACGTGTCTGTGCTGATTTTTATTTATTAAAAGACTCCAGATGCAGATTGACATTTTCAGCTCAATATTTGACTTTCACCAGCCTTGCAAGGGAACTGTGAGCGTTTTGATAAACAGCTGAAAGGTTCGCCTGGTTTCACTACAGCCTCTGTGCAGATCTCGCATCTCTCCCTCTCTCTCTCTTTCTCTCTCTGCCTCTATCTGTGTTTTTTTAAAGTTGTTTTGCAATACTCGGTGTAAGTAAAATTGCCCTGCACGTTCTTCGTATAATTTAGGGACAACTTCCTTGACTTCTGCAGTAAGGGACGTGCGTTGGTGCTGGAAACCAGTTGGTGCTGCAAAAGCACCAATTGAAAGTGCAGCGAAAGAACAGCCACTCACTACACTGACCAACGTAAACAGTTCTCAGACTTCCAGTGTAGCGGATGTCTAGCATGTTTGCCTGGAATGTTTTCCAGTTTCTTGACCTAAATGGCCTCCTTTCCACAGTGGATGAGTCCTTAGAATTGGCCTTACCTGTGCTATAGATGCCATTGGGCTCGGTGGCTTGCTTGCAGAACAGTAATATTTTTCAATGTAAATCAAATTTGTATGCTATAATCTTGGGCAGTCCTTAGCCTCCATGGTGCCTCCTTCCTTCTCCTGGAAGTTTCAGTGCGCTACAGCTCTGGAATAGTTTGAGGACGTTAATAAGACCTAGTCTGTGCTTCAAAATGCAACTGTGCTTTAATTGTCACGGGGCAGCTCTGGTAGACATACCTGGTGGTAATTTACAAGTACAAAAGAATTGAAACCCCAGAGTATACTCTGGGGAAGGGAAAACGGAGATTTGTTCCAGTTGAGCTTATCCAGGCGAGAATCTAGGAAAGAGCAATGTACACAGCAGCTCCCTTGTTGTTTTTGTAGTATGGTCAGGCTCTTAGGAAACCCCCAAGAAGTATGCACTACAAAAACAACTGCAGCATTGCTGTGTATGAGTTGATATTTCCTAGATTTTAGTCTGGATAAGCTCAACTGGAATAAGCCATAGGGTTTTTGTGTGTATTTTTTTTCTTTTTTTCCTCTTTCTTTTCAAAGTATATGCTTGAGATTTTAATGCTTTCACACCTGTAAATTACCACGTTGAACATATATAGCTGAATGAATCATAACACGCGCTCAGCTGGGGCAAGGACGTGGTGACAGTTTCTTCAGATTGAATAATGTCACATTTCTGCTTCCTGTATGTACTCCGGGTAGCCATGTTGTGGGAGGTTCACTTGGTCTCCTTTCTGCAGCCATTTCATAACTCGACCTCAGGGCTGGTTATATTTTCTGCATAAGTGTAAAGAATGGGTGATTTACAAAAAAAAGTGTCTCAGGTTCTTAACTGCTTTTGTTGAGATTTCTGTGTGCAATATTCTGCTAAAGAAGTCCAGGAGAGCTAAGATTTGTAAGTATTTTGGAGAATAATTATTAAGTGATCCCTAACAGTTAAGTGTTTTCTTATGCAAAGTTGTAGGCTCAATGGAAAGAAATGGAAGGGCTGGTACTGTTGAGTTTAATGAAGTTGTGCTTAGTGCAAACACCACTTAGAAAGTAAGTAGATAATGTTAATGGGATAGAACATTTCCACAGAATAATGGTTTCCTGCTGTTAGATAAAAACCAGAGACCAAGCAAATGTTTATTTTCCAAGTGGGAGACATAGATCTGATGATGATGTTGTACTAAAGCGACTTGTCTGTTAGGCAGAATGACTGATGCAGATGTAATCACTTTAATCTCGTCACTGATGTATTAGACAGATTGTTCCCAGCGTAACTGTTTTACACTCCCGTTTTTATTCTTGCTGATAACAGACCTCTGATAATCTGTTATTCTGTATTCCCACATTGCCCCCTCTAGCAGCAGCTGCTAGGCCTGAACTGAGGTCTCTCTTGTACTTAGATGAGAGCTAAACAACTGTAACCGTTACCCATGGTTTGAGTATTAATAAATCCAGCGTCTCCTCCCCTCTTTCATCCCCCCGACCCTTCCTGCGTTTTGCTGATGGTGTTAACTTTAACAGAATCATTTATTGCACTGGCCTTGCTGTTACTGTATGACTCAGTACATCCTGAGGCTGGTTGGAAATGGAATATTTTAAGAAGTGCCCCATCTTCTGTTCATTCACATTAATTCTTCAAAGAGCGATGCCAATGTCTTAGTTTGCACACAGAGGAGAAGAGGCTTAAAATCAGGATACTGGGAGAGAGGCTGTGTGTGTCTGAGGGGGTGGGGAAGGGTTTTTGGGAGCTGACAGGTGAAACTGTCACTGAAACGGTGATATTCTCTTGTAATTTTAAATGAAAGCATCATAGCTCCTGCAGAAAGGCTGAAATGTTTCTTTGACCATTTGTTTTCTCTCTAGGGCCAAGGACAAACCTTTCAGTTTCCCAACCTGTTTCCAGAAAAAGAACAAACGCCAGAAACTCGCTCTTTTGATGAGTTCAGGAAAAAGTATTTCGAGAAAGAGCTGCAGAGGCAGAGAGGCGACCCCAGACGAGGTGGAGTCCCCGACTGGTTTGGACTTTGATGCAATAAGCCGGCTGCTCCGAGAGATTTTAATCAGCAGAATTTGCACTCGCCTCTTCTTGTAGGAACCAAGGGTTTATTTTTGAGCAGCCCTTGCTAGCATGTCTTTTTACCTGGCTGTTTGTTCACGACTACAACAAAATGGCCCAAAAGAAATAAAAAGGTAAAATATATCCGACTGCATCAGATCTTTCCTGTGAGCTTGTTGACTGTTTCTAAAATGTGGAGTTGTTTGTTGTTGTTTCTGACTGTGAGTGTCATTCTGCTTAGCCTCTTCCTGCTTCTGTGGGTCATCTGAGTGAAGCAGGAGACGCAGTTTCCAGGGTAAGTGTGGTTTGTGTCGAACAGGGTGCGTAAAAGGCGAGGCAGGACAAACAGAGGTGGGAAAGAAGTTGTAGAAAGCTTGACTGTGGGCTCAGGACGTAGGTTCACTTATTGTCAGCTGCGCCCTCCTGCTGTTTTGCGGGTTGCCTTTCTTCCATCGCGGCCGCCTTTCCCTAGGGATGTTTGCGTGACCCCATTCCGCTCCCTTGTTAGGTGGCACCTCGGGGCTGGGACCTGCTGGCGGGCACACGTCCGTGTGTGTGTGTGTGTGTGTGAGCCTGCGGTGCCGTGCAGGTGGCGAGCCGGCCGGGAACGGCTCCCGGCACGGCGGCGGCCGCGCTCCCGCCCGCAGCTACCTTGCACGGCTGGCAGGAGGCCTCTGTGGACACAGTTGTATTGGCGTAAAGATACTGCTGCCAGTGTGGACTGCTTTGTGCTCAGGGCGAGTGAAAAGGCTCTTTTTACTTCTGGTTTAACTCCCGCCACTTCTAGGTTGCTGGTCTAGGCTAGGGCTTTGCTAAGCCTTCGGGGCTGCTGTATTTGGGTTTTTCTTTTGCCCAGCTCTGCTGTTTCTAATCAGTCTAATGAGGATAGTTTCTCTTTCCCTTTGTCACATAGCGTGTTCTCCCAATGTGTCAGAAATAGTGGAAAAAGCAAGGAGAAAGCAAATGACTTTCCCACAGATGAAGGGAGGGATCCATTTCTGCAGGCCACTAGCTATGATGGCAGCACGGGCAGGGTTAAAGGCACAGCTCAAGTGGCCCTGCCTTTTGGATTCTGCCACTTGAAGCAGTTGGCAGGGCCCTGAATGAACCCTCGCCTCAGCACTTCTACCCGGGTGCTCTCCTGTATTGGTCTGTGTCTGAACTTCTTGTTTGGACGGCTAGCAAGATGTTTACAAGGAAACAGCTGTTCCCCCAGAGAAGCCATCTGAGGAGGATTTTAGGCACCCTCTCCTGTTCATTAGTCGTCTCTTTCCTCCTGCTCCTTCCCCTCCGCACGACAGTCGACCATCTCCTGCGGTTTGTTGCTTACAAACCCACCCCGCTCGTTGTCCAACTTCCAACAGGGATCATGCACATGATCTGCGTAAGTCAGCTGGTACTTAGAGAGAGATGCCCTCAGAGAGGAGGGAGATAAGGGGGGATTTGCTACTCCCGTGTTGCTGACAGAGCTACAATAGTAGAGATGGAAAAATACTGAATTCACTGAAAACAGTTTTTTGTTTGGCATGTCTGCAAAAAGCCAGTGCTTTCTGACTTTGTAGTGACACGTGAAACCTAAGGTTAAACCAGGAGCTGGCCTGCAGTTCTAAAGTGGGAAGTCTGAATTTCTAGTCTGAATGCCTAGATAAAAGGGTTTCCTCTGATATTTACAGCTCTCATTTATGTATTTATTAAGGGGACTGTTTCTCAAGCTTCCAGCTCGATGTGGAGTTGATCCACATGGGGGTTGGGAATGGAGTCAATTCATGCTGGAACTGGGGCTCTGCTCCTGCAGTATAATATTATGGAATTTGTTTTCTTCCCTTTTCTTTGTGGTGGCCTCCAATACAGGTAACTCCGTCTTCTCCGTGGTGAAGGTAATTGAAAAGAGTTCGTCCAGTGTTGCTATGTATCTTCCTAACTGGCTAGTCAGCCTTAAGCAAGCAAGCAGACAGGTATGTGATAGTTCTGGATGAGTGAGGCTGCATCCTCTATGTTAGGTGTGAGAGAGTTGCTTATATATAAGGGTATATTAACAGTCAGCCTCTCTGCCTTGCCTGTCCTGGTGCTCAGGAGAGGTTGGAGTCAGCAGCTCGTGTACTGTCACTGAGGACCCAAGCTGAGGAGTTTATTGCAGTCCCAGATGAGTTCTAGGCTGAGTGAGTATCAAAAGTCCGGGGCAGATCTGCCGTGGTTTGCAGCTCTGTGGTTTCTTTGTGGGTGAATAATTTCTAGTTCATGTTCAAGGCAGGTTTCTGTCTGGAATGGCACAAAACAGAAGAAAGAGATGAGCAGACCCATATTTATACAGAGCTTTGGCAACCGAGTTCTAACAGATACTCAAGCTCCTTGTGAGAGAGAGAGAGAGCTTATGCTACCAGCTGCTTCTCAAATAGTATTCCTGTGAAATTAAGGTAAGATTAAAAAAGAAAATTCAAAGTCTCCACCATTATTTTGCTTTAAGGCCCCTGGTTGCTACAGAAATGATTTTTTTTTTAAAAAATGATGTCAAGTCCTTCCCAGTCCCCTGTTGGCCAGTATTTCTGAGGAAGTGCCAGTGACTTTAAATGTTTTGCATAATACAGTACTCCACAAATCGCACTCCCCATGCTCTCCAGGTGGGATAGAAAGTAATGGAGATAATATTTGAGCATGAAGACAAAATCTGCGTCATGTACCAGCGAAGCACAGCGAGTGAGTGCCGAAGCTGGGACAAACACTCTGAATTACGTGGGTCTGTTCACGACATTGCTCTCATTCCAGCACATCCTGGGGTTTCTTCTCTATGATGCAGAGGCTCAGTGGGTCCTGCGAGGTTGCATCTAGCCCCGCTCTCAGCGAGGTGTTGAGCTGTCCTTGGCTCTATCATCAGCCCTACCTGTGGGCCAAGAATCTGGACGTGCGCTCGAGGAACTCCTCCAAGGAGCCAAGCGAGGACCTGGTGGAAGAGCCGGATGTTCTCTCGGTGGGAAGAGCCGCGTCCCGCGCTTGGCGCGCGCGGCCCTGCAGCTGCCGGCTCCCCTGGCGCGCGGGGCAGAGGAGGAAGGCGCCTTCGCTCTCCTCGCCGTGCGTTACGGCCTCCCGCAGCGAGGGAGGTTCTGTTACAGCAGGCGCACAGCCGGCGTTGCTACAGCGGTGCCCAGCGCACAGGAGACCTGGGGCGGCCTTGGGGGTCACTTCTCTTCGCTGTTTATTAAAACCAACCGAGCTACTGGCTGCTGCTCGGGTGGAAGCTGATGGTGGGGTGGTTGCTGGTGGAAGCGGCTCCCGCAAGGAAGTGGGGGCGTGTGCAGGTGACAGGCTTGCTGTGCCTCGGATCCACTCGTCACCTGAGCTGCACTGCGTGAGCTCGGAGGAAAAAGCGCTTGGGAAGTGCTCGGCCTCAGGGTTGCTTTGAAGTGGCCAGGCGTGTAGTGCAGCTCAGCTGACACGAGGTTAGTCACGGAGCTGCGCTAGCCTCGGCCGCTCTCTGTAAGCCCCGCTTTGTCAAAGAGGTTATTAAGTATTTCCTGCAGATCGCTGGTTACCTTTATTGTCCTGTGCACCATTCCCTCTTTGTTACACTACTTGGTGGTCAAGAGAAGAGAAAAGGTTAAATGGGCTAAAAGATGGGAAAGAAGTAAATACTCCTTTGCACTGCTTTGATGAATCCCAAAGGAGGCATATTCTAATCCAATTAGCAAATATCCCTGCTCTCTGCACAGGAAAGTCAAGTCACATGGAGGGTAAATGGCTCACTTCCACAACTGAATGTGTCTGGGAATGGGTAATCCAGAGCTTCTGATGCTTTCCCCCCTACTGGGACTCCTGAATTACGCATCTCGTGACAGAAAGAGGCATTCAGTGATCTGATCCATTGCTGAGTAGCACTAGCACTTCTGAATGAATGAAGCACTGGGAAAATTTTGCTTATTTTATCCAAGGTGGTCTTGCTGTGGAAACCCTGTTAACGACCGGCAAATTTCAGATCCCTCTAGGTCATTCCAATTATATCGAAATTTCCCCCTCCCCTGCCCCCAGGAAAATAATTTTCCATATTTCAATTGATAGACTGTAGGACAGACAATTAGCGCTTCAGCTGCGGGCTGTTTGTGGAATAACTTGCAGAGGGTGGTGAGGGCTGGACAGAGGACGCCTGCGTAGTGCGTGAAACGAGGAGAGGTGCACAAAGCCAGCACTATTTTTGCTAGGGGCACCGAAAGCTGTAAAGCTGTTATCTTGACAGTGCTGCTTTCTCCTGAAGTGGAGTTCAAGGACTGCTCGCAGTCCAAATTAAAGCAGTTGTCTGAGAATGGCTTTCCAGGGCGGCCTGCGTGCCAAGGCTCAGAGGTGCCCTGGCTACAAAGGAACATTGTGATAATCCCCTCTGACCTCATGCATGACACAGATCATAAAATTTCATGCCATAGGTTCTGTGCGTAGGCCAGAAGCCTGTGGTTGAATGCTACCTGGAAAGGATTTCAAGGCTTAAACTTGACCAGCATGGCAGGGCGAAGTGAATTCCCCTCAATAAGCCGGGCCCAGGCAGCACAGAAGTCAGCAACATGTTGTCATCTGACCTGTGAATTGCTTAAAGTGCTTGTAATAGGGAAAACTGAGTGTTTAAGAACCAGATGTTTGTAGGAAGGGGAGGTAATTTTTGTAAATATTTTTTTTTTAATGCAGAAGGTTTTAGATTGGCCAAGATAACATCCTAGCTGAGACATTTCTTTAGAGTGATTTATGGCTGTTTAGACAGAACGTAGCTCTGTGCGTGTTGTGGCTTATCAAAGCGTGTGCTGCTGGTGCTGGTGCTCTCCTCCTTTAGAGGACAGTAGCTGGGTCCTGGGGCAGAACTACTTGGTTCTGTTACAACACTCACAGCTGATTATCAGTCTTTTCTCCCTTCCTGCCCTCAGCTGCTTGCAAATGCCATGGATGAAAATTGGCTACAATTTTGGAGTGCCAGCTAGACTCCAAACAAGAGGTAAGAGACAGGTAAGAGGCACCACAACTGTGTCTGTACAAGAATGCAGAGCTCTGAATTGGGCACTGAATTTTCCTCTGTGGAGCCTGGTACTTTAGAAAGCGTTTTGAGGCCACAAAG